TCGGGGAGCTGCGGCCGCTCTGAAGGCGGTGTGTCCCTGCAGGGGGTGAGGGGCGGCTTTCTCTAGCACGTAAGGAGTGTGTCACAGCTTGCCTCCTGTTCCGTGTAAGCGCGCTTTACAGGTGCGGTTAGCCTTCTAACGGCCGTGGTCACCAGCCGTGAGGGGGTTTCCAGGCCTTGGGAGGCCTTCAGAAGATTCCGAGAATGATACAGGGTCGTCTTGGGGCGATTTAGCAGTATCAGCAGCATTTGCACGTGGTGCAGGTAAAACAGTGCAGGCTGTTTTTTTGTTTTGTTTTGTTTGCGTGTTTAATCCACCAGTGTTTGAGTTCAGCATCCAATGGCAGCTCTGCTGGAGTATGGCAAGATAAACCCATGTTTGGATAATTTTGATGCTCTGGTTCCCAGGGAAGGAAGCAAACTGAACTGTTCCAAGAAAACAGCGGGGTCGGGGGTGAGGACTTTTAGATGATTAGGTGAATACAAGTGTTGCTGTTAATCTGTCGTCTTGATTGTATGAAGCTTGAATGTATAACATGGTTGTTTGTATACCATCAGAAGTTACTGAAGCTGAGGCCTCAGATGCTGGGAGTTCAAGGCTACTGGAAAGTTGAAGAGGATTTAGTGAAGAGATGCAAACGTGGTAAAAAAACAGAGTAGAATTACTTAAACTCAAAGAACTCAGCGTACTTACATTCAGGGTTATGGAGAAGACTGGAAGTATTTCAAGGAACTGTAGGAATGGAATGAAGCCTGGTGATTGGATTTTGAATGGAAAATCATGTATTTAAAATTAGAAATACTTAAGAGTGAGAGTAGTTAACAGCTGGAAGCAAATGTCTGAGTCTCAGATAAATTTGATGGATTTATGATGGTTTTTCTGTTAGAAATAACTTTCCTGAAGATACCAGCTTAGAGCTTTTGGGGATTATTTTTTTGTGTGTGTGTATGTGTTCTTGACTCAAGTAAATGTGATGGACTGTAACTTGTTTAAACTTTTGCAAAGAATGGAATACAATGGCATGCAGAATGGTTAGTAAGGAGATTAGATATGAGAAATTGTAAGAGGTGAGAAATCTAAAGAAAACATAATAAAGTACATTGAATGGGGGGCTGCTAGATTAAATTATTGACGGTGCTTCTCTGTGTGTGGCCTTGGGACTGTGGCTGAGCGAGAGAATCGTACTGAAATGTCGTGGAAGACCTAGGTGGGAAGCAGAGACACTGTCAACATAGAAGCAGATTGGAATATCTCCTGAGTAGAACAGGAAGACTTTTGAGGGCCATATTAGTAGAAACAATGAATTAAATTGTACAGAATGCAAGGTCACATGGAAGGGGGAACTAATAGCAAATTTGGAATTTGTTCCTGCTGTGTTTGGCAACAGAGCAAAGAGATGGGCATATTGGTGTTACAAGATTACAAAGTCAGAAGTGTAAAAGTCTGTGGAAAAAGCTAAGCACAGTCAGAAGATTGCATTAGAAAAGTGGGTGTGGGGTCTTTTTTTTCATGGAAATACAGAACTATTACTCTTGCGTATGTCCAAGTGAGACCCTACTGAAATAATGATTGGCTGTCAACAAGAAGGTCCATTCAAACTGAAGGAAGTGCAGAAAGGTAGGAAGGCTAAAGGAACAAGACGAGCTATTTTGTTAGGAGGTAAATAGTATTTCTGTATAGCTCATTACACTGGCAAGTAGAAACAGCTAGATTACCTGGGATTAAGGATTTAAAGACAGCATGGCAAAGTTACATGCCTTGCGTACCTTGTCCTACCTTGACAGGATATTATGGTCTGTATACCTGAACTAGCTTCTGTAGGTATCTACATGGCAAGGAACTGGATTTCTAGAACTTCCAATGAAAAGCTAAGACAAGAAATACATTTGAGTGGCCACAGGGAAGAAAGCAATTTATGATTGAGGGTGATATTAATGAACAAATTAATAGAGAAACCACCTTGGGGGCGGGGAGGGAGAATAATCTAAAAAAGATTACCAAGGCTATGTCTCTTTGTTGTCTCTTTGTACTACTTGTGAGTAATTGCTGCTAAGGACCTGGTGTCCACACAGTAAACATTTCAAGGTTTCTGTTTCTTTGGAATAGCTCTAAAGGAATTCGATTTGTGTACTCCAGACTGCTCCATTGTACAAACCAAGCAGAGGAAGTTTGCTTTAAAAATGCACCCCTGTTCTGAATTAAAGCACTCATGTAGGTGCACCATAAAAGAACAGAGAAAGCCGCAAGAGCTCAGTGGACTTGCCAAGATGACCCTTTTTGTTCTGTGGAATCTTTCAGCTACAGTATTCTGCCTGCTTCCAAAATTTCCAAGCTCTGGCTCCATCTTCAGGGCATGATGATGGTGCTTATCTCTGTTATTCAGCTCATCCAAACTCTTTCTGAAATTGAACTCTGTCTGCTATGGAAGATGCATGAATTTGTGATTATAATGAGTGGCACTTCACTGCTGTTCTAAGCAATCTTCTTTTTTTACTTCTTATTTTGGGTGTAGGAATTAAAAGCTCTTGTATCACCTGTCCACCCTGAAGCAGTTGTAAATGTGTTCTTCCAAGCCTAAATGACAATATCCTGCTTGATGTTAGCTTAGGTAATTGTTCCGGGCTACTTAATTACTCTGTAATTCATGCTTCTCCATTGTTCATAGGAGACAATCATACACTAAGAAGCAAGTAGGCTGAGTACTTCCAAGTAATACAATGTGTTATGTGCTCTACTTGTGTCATTGCAAAACTTGAGGGGTGCCATGCTCCAGAGTTCTGGCTTTTTCTGGACTGACCCCGAATTGTGTACGTAAACACTTCCCAAACTAGGGCGGTCAGTCTGCAGCTCAGACAAGTCGCTTGACACGTTCTTCACTTTTCATTTTGAATGTTTCTGTATTGTGCTGTGAAGATGAATTGGTATATCCAGCACATTAAAATATGAAGTTCACAGTAACCAGCATGATGGAAATAATCTTATGATATCTCCCATTCTAAAATATATGATAATCCTTGTGACTTTCCAACCTTGCAAAGAGGATTTCCCTTGCAAATATAGGCTTCTGACTAACCTCTTATAGCTTTCACTGCTTTTGGTCTGTGGGTTGCTACAGGAACATGTAAGTGTTACCAGTCTGCATGTGGCTTGTGTTTTGTGGGCATTCCACAGAAATGTTCTCTGGAGTAGACTGTTGTCTTTTGTAGTAAGCTACTGAGCAAAACAGAACTTCATTTATTTACGCAAGATACTGCGGTCTTCAGATTTCATGAATATAAGCCTGTGATGCATCTTACCACTTCTAGGTACTGTTGTGAACTGAGAGGGGTAGGTTTTTCTGATCAAATTCTTAAATATGATTTAAGTTCTTTTAATGTGGAAGAATATGAAATAAATGCACTTCATCAATTTCCTAATGAATTAGAAATGTAGTACATTATTAGTCTGATAACACAGTGTCTAGTATATTTCTAGCCACACTGTGGCAGTGCTGGAGCGAGACTGACTTTAACTTTTCTCTTCTTTTCCAGCGCTTATTAACGGCCTCTCCAAAATACCTACACAACAGAAAAAAACAGTGTATATTTGTCAGCTTTTGATAAGAATTGCAAAAGGAAAAAACCTTGGTAAATACTCTGATTCTTTTTTTTCCACTTGTTTAAACAGATTTGCATGAACTCGTACAGAGAGGTATTAGGTATGGTTTCACGTAGCCTTTACTGTACATACATACATATATATATATATATATAAAAAAAAAACCCACTGAACTTTACATTTTGGACTGTCTCTATTCCACATGTGACTGAGCTGTATTCAGGACCAGTGTTATTCTGTGCTGACTGATATAGCTGCTTTGAGTTTGAATAACTATATGCTTCTTAAATTATAGGCCATTTTTTTGTCAGACTAGCATCAACAAAAGAAGTACACTGGAAAAGATTGACTAGCTCTTAGGGAGCAATATTTGCAAGTTTAAAGCACAGAATGTGTGTTTCTTTCTGCACATGTAAGTAACTCTAGAGGTTAAAGTAGGACAGACAGTAGGAATAAGAATATGGATGAAAAGGATAACTGCCCTTGTTTCTTACAGAAGGCTGTAAGACCTTCAGCTGGCAGCAGGTCCTTGGCATTCTTATTCACTACCACATCTCCTGTTTGGCTGTATTCATAATTTACTGGTTTAGCCAAACTGATGTATATTTAGCTTTATCCTTTAAGTTTTTTAATATTTTTTTTCTGTTTTATTTTTTTCTCTCCCTAAGAATGCCATTTTGAAAATGATCAAAGAATTTCACCTTTGGAATCTGCTCTGTCTTTCTGGACTTTACTTGAAAGGAAAGAAATTAAACTGGAAAAGCTTCATGAAGATATTCGTCGCTTGATTCAAATTCAGGTCTGTGTGACTTACCAATTTATTCTGCTAAAACAGGGCTCCTTTTACAAAAAGCTTGGGCTACTAGCAGGCCAAACTGAATTTTCTAAGTTTGTTTTATTTTCAAGTAGAAAGTAAATAGATCTGTACAGGGAACCTTTTCCTATCTAAATTGGTTCCTGTTTGTTCCAGTTCAAAATTGTTTCAAAAGCTGCCAATCTGAAAAATGAGATATCAATTGAAAGATCAATTTCAAAACACTAGTATCTTGGGCTTTAAAATATATTATGAATAACTTTTTTTTTTTTTAAATAATTCTTTGTGTTAGAAAACTTTTGATTTCAAAGAGAAACATGTAAAAAACACATTGACAGCTACTGGGATGGCAAAAGTTTTTCAGGGAAAGGTGAAAGCAATACTTGTGTAAGCATGGGACACTTTGCATCACTGAGGGTCCTTTTAAATGCCTGATGGAGAGATTTTATACCTTTATACATGAGGTTTAATATTACTTCAGAACTAACTGTTATAACTAGATAATTGTTGGTAACCCTTAACTATATAATCCTCTGGATTTTGGAAGTCTTAAAAAACTGTAACAGTGTGACTTGTCTTGGGTTTTTTCTCAATCTCAGGTGAAATGTACTTCAGTGTATCTTGTAATTACATTTGTTGTAGATTGTAGCAGTCCATATGGAAAATGGATATTTCAAGGAGGCTGCTGAAGTTCTTGAAAGGCTATTCACAGACTCGGAATCAGATAAGGTAGTAACTTGCTTAACTTGCATTAAACTCCCCTTTTCAGAGGGGAGTGAGGTTTCCAAAGCTAGTAAATGCTACCTGCATACCTTTGTCCTAGTAATTACTGCCTGTGCGATCACTTACACACCTGTGGCACGTGTAAATACAAAAGGAAATTTGTGGCTAAGGGACTGATAGAAATAATGGTTGATTTGGGGGAGTAAAATGCTCCTAGCAGCAGTTGTTCTTCACTGTGGGCAGCATCAGTCTGAACTTCATCCCCTTTCCCACTTCATATGAGGAGTGAGGTGTCACTACAGATTCTGGGAATTTGATATTACTGTTTTCTCAGAATAAATTGTAGCATGTGTGTAACTTATCCTTCAGATACCTTCTTCATTCAGAGGATTCAGACGCTTGGAAAGTGTAGGCTGTGGTAATAGTATTCAAATTCACAAATAAGAATGCAGACTGTACACAGAAGTTAATTTCTGGCTATATTGGTCTCTGTAAGATTCAGAGTGATTACTAAACAAAATGTGAAGTTGCAATTATCAGTATCAATGTGTTCTTAATGCTACTGTACTAGACAGTCCTTTTCCTGGACACTGTAAACTCAGTGGCAATATTTTTGAGGCAGCAAATGAGAAAAGAGAACGCAGTAATGAGTGGCCTTTTCTGGGTGTTTTCTCTATTGACAGCCCTGCTTTCAGTGCTACTCATAAAAGGAATGAAAATGAGGACCTCTAGAAAGTTACACTTAACCATTTACTTAGCACATAAAGTAAACTCCTGGTATTATGCCTTGTTAACTTTAGAAACCTTTCAAACTGTAGCATGAAACTGTATAGGCATATTCAGAAAACTATATAATCATCATGTTTAGCTTTGTGTATGTCCTGTTCAGCATAGCTGCCAAGTTTACTGCAGGGTATATTTTTGTGTTGCATAAAGCTGTGCTTTTCTTAGCCGTTAAGGGTGAAGCTGGCAATGGTAATTAAAAGCAAGGATCCGTATGTTCCCCTTCTCCAAAGCTTCAGTTACAATCTTTTGATACGTAAAATCAAGACTTACACTGAACTCTTCATGAAAGACAATGAAACTACCTTCTTAATACAGGTATGTCAAAACTATTTTCAAAACTTATTTCAAAAGAGATACCTCATAAGATTAAATAGATTTATGCTTTCGAGGGAGTCGTTTAGACAATATTTACTTACTGTATTAGACAAAAAGGAAGCTTTCTCTTTCTTTAGATTGTCTTAGTAATTAAAAAAAAAAGGTTGGATATATGTTTAGGAGAAAGTTAGTAGGAGTAAGACTGCTCTAAAATATCTTTTGTGAATGTTTTTTTCCGCAGCTGTTTTGATTAGAGAAGTAGTTATAAGCATAATTAAAACAAGATCTGTCATTAGTGTATGTTTAAGAGAAGCAGTTCTATTCTGAGACTCCCTAAAAGATAATGTAACTATTAAATATATAGTTATTT